ATACAGGGTGCGCGTGATCCCCCCCCCCCGAACTACGAGACCCTTCCGGGCCAACCCCCTTAAGGTGGTAGTTAGTTTTAAATATGCGAAGCAAAAAAGTATTTCGCCATGTTGTAATTGACTAAAGGCACTTCCCAGTGAAGCCGTGCGGAAAATAGGTGATTCTTTTTATGATTTTTTCTAGAAAAAAGTATAGAATGTAAAGTAATGGAAGATTTTGTACTCTATTGTACTACAAACTATAAACTAAAAAAATTGTTTTTATGTAACTTTTATACACTTCTATCTTTGTTACGCATCGCATGTTGCATGGCTGTAAACATCAAAGTCATGATCAACATCAACAGAAAAGATCATTTAAAACGAAACAGATTGTTTAATCTTACATGAATGGCTATGTATAGCCTAAACCCTTGACATTGTTAAAAAAGAAGAAAACAATTGGACGATGATTGCCATATGTTTAAACAAATGGGTTTCTTTTGCACAAGTGTCCGTAAAAAAAAATTGAGTGTTTAAAAATTCATAATGGTGGTTAGGTCGAGAACGAGTGTAAGCCGCTTTAGAGGACAAGATTCGGGGACGATCTTCGGGGTTTCAAGGTATTGATGTAGACGAAGTCAGGTCTTGAAGGGGGGATCCCCGAGGTTCTGCCTTCCTTACGACCCTGACACAGGCCAATCCCTGGCACGACTTCAATTTTCGGTCGCTTATCGATTGCTTAGGTGGGAGAGGTGACGATAAGCGGTGTGGGCTGGTGTGTGCATGCAATCTGTCGTTCTTTTTGCGGGGTAAACTTCCCCTCTCTCTCACAAAGTGATTGGCTCCTGGCTTAACACGTTGACTGCCACAATCTTTTACTGTTAAGTCGATATCGAAACAATGAATTTACGTAAGTTTTTCGCTGTTGTGAATATAAATATCTATTTGTTTAATTGTACATACACTCCTTGTTTGGATCATTGTACTATTATTATACAGTAGAGCCTTCCGTACCCGAACGCCCTAATCTTCGAACCTTCCATTATTCGAACCGTCCAATACCTGAACCTTCTACTAATCGAACCTTCCAATATCCGAACCTTTTACTAATCGAACGTTCCAATATCCGAACCTTCTACTAATCGAACGTTCCAATATCCGAACGTTTTACTACCAAAAAGTTCTACTATCCGAACGTTTTACTATTTAAAAGTTCTACTATCTGAACGTTCTGTTATCCACATAGCGTGTCTCCTACGAATAGATGTCTTCTCCTGTTGTAAATATACCGGGTATGAAAACCGTAATAGTGCTTACATACAATGGATACTTCTGTCTGTTCGATCGAATTCTACGTGATTAGTTATATTGAAAAAATTCTGTAACATAGTAGCCATAAAAAGATATGGGAACCGTAAATACTGGAACGAACTGTCGATTTGTTTTATCTCTATTTAAATAAATGAAGTTTAGCGTCCAAAAACTGATTGTTCTGCTATTCGAGAATTCCTTTATCCGAACACTGATGTCTTCCTATTAGTTCAGACATGGAAGGCCCTACTGTAATTACATTTACACAATTGTAAATGTTATCGTTTAAAAGTTAAATGCTTTTTCATACGATTTAATGATGCTGGTCGCCGATGACCACAGCGGGCAGTCGACGTGTTAACGATACTTGTCTGGTTCTCTGTACTACATACAGCTATAGTCCACAAGTTTGAAAATTCGTATTTGTTTTAGTTAAACAAATAATCCTTTGTTAATATGTTGAAAGTAACCGCTTGTAAAGAAAAAGTGTATCGCATATTTTTACCGGTTTGCAGAAAAAACTTTCTTTTTCTAACCACATTTCTCAAAAATTCTTTGTTTTTTTTTCGAGTTTTGCTTAGTCTGTTGTTCTGTTATTTATGCATCGAAGTATGTAATAATAATTTCGATAGGAGCTTTTCAAAGGCTTTGTGATAGTTGTCTGCAGACTACGAGGAACGTTTGACCCTCGTGCCACCAGTCAGATTTATTCGGGACGAAGCAGAGATGATTCTTTCGTATTTGAAAAGTTTATAAATAAATTTAGTACAAATAGTCTATACGCTATGTCTGTCGAGAATTTATAGCATGCTTTGTTCTTGAAATAACCGAAACTTTTTTGCATTCATGTGCTTAACATATTGCAAATATTACGTAATACGTTATCTTTAGGGTGGCCACATTCACAAATGCAAATACTTTTTATTGAAAACTATTCAGAAGCTGACAAAGATAACAGTATCATTTAAAACAGGAAAATCAGAATTTAAAAAGAACAATGCTCACTATTTTAGTACATTTACGTCCAGGTATAGATCGATGAAAATATATTTCTCCAATTTGATTTTAATTTTGGCACAATAGAGTTTACCCGTTGGGGAAGTACACCAAGATGACAGAAAAATTAATTTTGTTCTCCAAAATTAAACAAAAACTGGAATTTCTTTAAAGTCAATGTAAACACTACAAATTATATACTTCTGTAACAGTCTGCATAATTTTGTAGAGAATAGCAGTGAAATTGAAGTGAAATATAACAGTCTCCTCATCAGATGACTTCAGTTTTATCTTAGAGTTGTGCAAAAAGTGGTTCATTATTGAATGACCCAGCCTTACTTGTATAAAAAATTAACGTTCCTTCGTAAAATATTCTTTCATAAATATGGAACAAATTTCATAATAAATATGGAAAAAATTTAACCGGTGAGAAACTATTGTCACATCCTGTATACGAGCAAAAATCTGCGTCACCGAGCCTCTGGGCTTGTTCTCTCGCGGTTTTCTCCTCTCCTCTCTTCTCTTCCTTCCTTCCTTCCTCCCCACCGTATTCGGTAGGAAAGTGTAGCACACAACTAACACAAAACGTTTTGCGAAACTTTCTTATCGCGAGGCCCGATTATTATAACAGCACAGCTCGATAAGGACCACCCACACTCTCTTCTGGCATCGTGCACGGACAATCGATTACGTATCTCAATATTTCTATTACTTTTTTTCTTGAATTTTCGAAATAAACTACTACAGACCTCAGAACAGAAAAAACCTACGGTATATCCCAGGATTTTCCTCTTAAACCTTGTTAATGTATTCTATGAATAAAACGTTTTAAAAATGTGTCCTTCAAAAGTTTACGAAAAATCCCGTCGAGAAACTATGAATGTTTCTAGAATAGAAAATGAAAACATTCATGGACTGGTTAGAAAGAGTTAATATTTCCCCTACGGTAATGATCTCACATTAACGAGAACAGCCAACATTTCGAAATGGCGTACTAACGATATATAAGGTTCATTCTTACTTTGTATCACACCAAGACCAAGTCCAGTTATCTTTTCTTTCGTATTTCTTATTCTTGTCACAACTCTTTCTCCTTGCCATATTACTCTTTTCTCCCTTATTTCTACTCGTAAAACGTACTGACAAAGTTCAGCCGGAAAACTCTGGACTAACCGGGTACAGTTAATGATAACTACGACATTAGAACTACCCTCCCCTTGTCGGAACTGTTCTTCCTGTTATTATTATTTTCCGTATACAAGTTCAGAAATCTATGCGTTCCCGAGCAAGAGCTTTATCGTGGTGGCGCATTATCAGCCTCAAAAAACCAGAGAAAAGGATGTCGATACAGAGAACGCTTATTCAACACCGCGACAAATAGATTCACTTGTTGCGAACGCGCCGTGGTGAAGGTACGCGCGAAACCTTGAACGATTTCTCCGCCGCCACCGTGCACACTTCAAAATGTATTTCCACTGGGACAATAAATTTCACCGTTAACTCGTGACAGAACACAGCCGCCTGCCAATCAGACTGAAAACTCTTCAGCAATGGCTTACGTGACCCACGTTCGACAAGCAAACGCCTCCCGAAGACAGTATGCTTCGCGATAGCGGATAACGCGCTAGTAAAGAGGAAAAATAAAGTTATGTCTGAGCTGCATTCGCGCGGCTCAGCGGTCGTTGTGTGAGTGCCAGCTTTTACGACAATGCAACTTATAGCTGAACACTACGGACTTGGCAATAATGCTGATGTAATTAAAGGAGTGCATTTTAACGGGACATTGAGACTCCCTTAACTAGTTATGAATCAGGATGTTCTAGTATGAGTCTGATGACTACCGTTTGTAATTTTACATTTTCAAATTGCTTGAGATTATGCTTTTTTAAGGTAATATAGTTTGCATTAGAATAAAAGTGAAAGTATTCGTTTTGTTCGCTTTGGGTTCGTATATTTCTCAGTATCACATTTTTTTTATCTGCTGCGACAGCCTCGAGGAAACCTCTTTAAATCCCAGGAGATAATACTAAAATCGTACTGAACGCCGTAAACGGGGTTTGCATTTAACTCTGACCGTAATTGACGGAGTTATCTCGCTGTAAAAACAGCGAACCGATTAACGTGGATGAATGTATTCTTATCTTGAATAAAAAAAAACACGAAAGGAAAGTGTACATTCGATAAGCACAGTTTTGTATATCTTGAATGAAAAGTGTCAAGATCTTATTCTTTCTCTGTGTGCAGGAAGAATTTGTTTCGAAGGAAAAGAACTCTCCCATTTACAGAAATAAAATGAACTGATTAGACGATTAGTACTATGTATCGCGAAAATTTGCAATAAGAATAAAAAAAACAGTTACGTCAATAATTAAAGCACTTACTGCTGACATTAAATGTTATTTTCGCAATAATGTTATCTGTATAATAGGAAATGTTTATTCTAAATATTATCCTCAGTCAGGGACTTCAACCGGTATGATTTTGATACCGGTATTATGCCATCAAAGCTATACCGAAACCGATATATTACCGAAAACCGAAATAAATACCGGTATTTTTTCAGTTTCTATAAGGGTAGGACTTATATAGGGTTATATAGGGCGAAGGTTCAATCGAAAATACCGATATAATACCGGTATTTTACGTGTCGGCAGAAATCCCTGCCCTTAGTCTCGTATGATCAAATGATTTAGTACAAGCAAAAGACTCACCATTTTCTCCATCTGTCAGTGCACCAGTATCCTCTTCACTCTTTTTGATCTTGTCGACTGTAATAACGAAAAATTGTGTTAAAAAAAAAACAATTTTCAATTAATTGTATTCGATTTCGGATGTATATTCCAATGACACATATTATTTACCATGCAGCATATGATTTTGAGAATGATGGTGATGATGCGATGATGGCGGTTTCCTCTCTGGCCTAATACGTTCCATCAATTTGCTTATACGATCGTTGGCTCTTTCCTTCCTAACTAGTGGCCCTGGACAATTTTCTTCTACTACACGAACACACTGGCGATGCACGCTCAAAGAACAATCTGGAATAGAAAGTATATGTTGTCACTGAAATGGTAATTTTTAATTTTCACAATTAATTACAATAAACATGTAAAAGATTTCAATGAAAAGATTAGTAGAAACTTGATGAACAATTACGTATAAATATTACATACCGCTACATAAATATCCTTGAGGCCCAATTCCGCCAATGATAAGTTGACAATGATTACAATAGGTAATGGTAAAGTACTGATGAGCTATAAAATGATGCCCCCTGATTGTCATTTTTCTTGTCTTTCCCGTGAGCAAACGCGCCTTGATATTCGACTTATCCTTTGCAACGAAGGTAGGCACTCGATCCAGAGCGACTGTTCGGACTTGGAAAATTTTTGTCAATATTGTTGCCAGACCAGCTGCGGTTGTGAACTGTCGTAAATCTACATGCTCCTTCTCTATATCGTCTCTGAAACATTATATAAATAACGGATAACGTAACATCAAAAACACCAGTACGATACACAATTCTTAAATAAATTTAAATTAATAAACTTACAGATAAGGCTCCATCTTAGGTAATAGGTATGTTTCTATGATTTTTGTCTCCCGTGTCTTGTCGGATGCACTTTCATCCAATTGAGCATCACTTGGACCAAACAACGTGCCCAATCCTGCAGTTCTTTTCTGTTGAAAATCTGCAAGTTGTTCGTTTAGTTCTTCTTTCGCGCGTGTCCGTGCTTTCCAGAAGATCTGTCAGAGAAAATAACATTTTATACAATTACAGTAAGTACTTATTATACGTTATATATGTATATACCTTTCGTAGGATCTCTTCTTTATCAAATTCTTTTAAAAGAACATCGTCTATTTCGTGTGCTACATTTTCGTCTACATTATGCAGACGGAGAGGCTAAAGAAAAAAGTTTCTAATCAGTACACGTTGGTTAGATCTTTAAACGAATTATTTTTCAATTACTTACTGCACCAGGTACTAAAAAACTAGAATGAATTTCATATGCCCATTTCCTCATCTCCTTCGCGTTGCCTTCTTTGTACAGATCCGTTACTAAATAGAACAACTGCAACAATATGAATAATTTTTTAAGATGAAGTTCAATATTAATATCCGATTAAATATATTACCTGTCTACCTCAATAACGGAGTACTCACCAGACTGGAGGGATCACTATTCGATAAAACATAATTAATAAATACAGCAAGGTGTGCGTGATGCCCCCATAATCTCGATAAAGACTTAAATGGACCGTGATCTTCCAGCTGCCCCTGGATAAAATTTAGTTGGCATTACATTATAATTATGCACTATCCGATTAAAAACGAAAATATAATTCGCAGCAACTTACAACTTCTTGGTCACTCATATCATCGTCTTCCATTGACATGATCGGCTGTTGTAATGTTGGTAACCCAGGAATGCTTTCATTTAAAATTGTCTGGAAAAGAAGAGCATTCAAAGAGTCTGATAATTTAAAAAAAAAAGTTTTTAAAACTCAACACCTAAATAAAACTTACATCGTTCATAGTAGAACTGGAGGTATCATTCCCTGGACTAATAACGGGATATGGAGGAGGTGGAGTTCCTGGAGGAGTGATATGAGGTACTTCGTCTACATCAATGTCACTATGCCTCACATGCCTTGGAGGAGAAAGATCGTTCATTGACTCTGACGCTATTAAACGTCTACTAGCTTCCGACGGCGAAATTGTTGTAGTTCCTAATTGTTCTGGGCTGGATTTTGTTCGTTGGTGCTTATTGAGTGAATTCGAGGATCCCAGATTTGCTCCCTGCGAAAGCTACAATAAAGATTGAATACAATAACCAAAATATTATCGTACGACAATAAGATGAGCATAGAAACAAAGTGATGGAATGCAAATACATAATGCAAAATTGTAAGAACATACACAATATGCACATACCCATTAAATACTACAATTATAAAATTAACTGAATTGAAAGATATGTATAACAAACAAATCACTAAAACGTATATACATATGTATATGTTTATGTACACATAACATGTTATATATACATAGACGTAGAAAAACATAAAATTTTAATAAACCGCTAAAACTATACATCGATGCAATTTTACATTCACACTCAAGAAAACATGACTCAATAGACTTTCATACTATTCAAGCAAGAAAAACATCAATGAACAATGAACGTAGTTTTCTTTATATATAATATACTTAATTTGCACATGAATGTTTCTTCTAATGAGTACTTAAATATTATGTGACATGATTACAATCAAATGTGTTCAACGTAAAATAATGCTCGACGGAATCACTTGGAAAACGTATAAATATAAAACTATGCGATTGTTCAATGACTAATACTAAATATGAGTTAATTGTAGAAATGTATACACTATTATGTGACAATATTTCTGTTTACCATGCGTTTGTATACATTACTTATTTAATGACTTAGTGATTAAACTACTTACAGAGTTAGGTATGCCATGACTGGTGGTTGAGGGCGTTAAATGAGTCAACAGATGACGTTCCAGCTCCAATTGGGCTACGTTGTGTGTATTTGTAGTAGGAGGAGGTCTAGGAGGCAACGGTGGCGGAGACAGGCTTTGCATGGACAAGGATTTACGAGACGGTAGAGGCGGTGGTACATCACCACCGCTACTACTCAAGGGTGGATAATATCCCGGGGAACACGAGGTGTTTGTTACCAACGAGCAAAGCTGTAAGACACAACAAAAGCTGGTTAGATAAAGTTAGCAAAAGCTTGAGTACATCCCTACGTGACTGAACTCGAAAATTTCAATATACAGTGCAAGCACACCTTATGTAAACAACAACAACAACAACAAAATTACACTTGTACAGCGTAAAAAGGTACATATACAAAAGCAACATAGGATCTATCGTTTCTTGCTGTTTACCATCAAACACTATTAGCTATCAAAATACCGATGGGAGAGAAAACAAAAAAAGAATTAATTACTACGAAAATCAGTAATAAAATACTATAACAATACTTTCATCGTTATGCCTTCTATTGGAAAGAAAATAAACACCTTAATAAACATCATGCCGAGCAAGTGTTTGGTACATTGAACAGCATCAACTCGAACTGTCAAACACTGACGTGAAAGCAAGGCAAGAATAGATGTTAATGAGAAAAGCATTAAAACGACATCATATTTTAATGAATAAGATAATGTGTCTCGTATTATATTTATGTTATATGTATGTATATACATGAATGTCCAGATTACTAGTAATAAAACTTGTGCACTACATTAGTGGAACGAATAGAAATCTAAAAATAAAAACTATTCGAAGAATGGATGAAGCACACTATAAGGAGGAAAGATCGTACCTGTTCGTGAGTGGTGATGGCAGTCAGTTGCTCCTGCAACGTTCGTACTCTCCTTTCGGCACCGGCCAATTCCGCTTGTAGTCCTATAGCGTTGACATTACCGCTACCGCTACCAGCTTTTGCCAGTTCACTACGAAGCTTGTCAACGTAACTTTGCTCCTTCTCCAACATAAGCTGGAATGTATGAACGCGCTGTGTTTCCAGCTGCCGTTTTTTCTCGTGCTGAAAAGTGTAAAAAATATATATATATTAGTATAATTATCGTTTGAAGAAACGAAACGTAATGTTCAGTGAAACATAATAGAAATAATAGTCTGTTAAAAACATTCAACGCTTGATTAGATAACAAGAGAGGTGTAAAGTACATGTAACTGCAGCAGGTTTATATGATGTAAGAAGAATGCGTACGAATCAAGTCTTCGTAACAAGTATATTTCTTTGACCTTACATTCAACAATTCAATGAAAATGTCGATTTGACAATCGAAATGTATCTTGCAACAGAAAGAACTTTATTTTCATAAGCAAAAATAATGTCCACGCAATAATATTGTAGTAAAAAAGAAGCAATATAAAATTAACAAAAATCTCATTAATCTCTTTAGAGTGACATCAAATTTGCTTGATTAAAAGTCAGTAATGAAAGTTACTGTATCTTTGCAAGAAACGGAAAAAGAGTTTACTTAAAATTCAATGTCAAGTTTGCATGAAAACAAAAACACTCCGTGGCATAACTACAAAACCACCCTAAAGTTTTCTGTGCTGAACCTCATTCAAAAATCAACGATACACCTGGGGACCTGCTTAGCAGTGCCAAGGAACCATCGAGCACTCATCGAAAATTTACTGTAGTATCAAACTGTTCTTTTAGATGTCACTGGTATAGATAACTTCACTTGTGATTATACAAGACCTATATGTGCCCTCTACAATGCCCCAAAAGCGGACATTCGATTGAAAGGGCTCCGGTAACTACAGTTCCCATACGGCCACGAGATTCGCCCATATTGGGAACTACAGTTCCCATCCGTACCGAACGTGTTAAAGAAAACTACTTGACGACTCACGTCAACCGGTTGGGGTCCCGTGATCCGTGCGTTACACTGCGAGCCGGCCGGAGCGGTGGACGCCCTGTGCAGAGAAGTCGCCGGCTGGGAGGGTGATACCATTGTGGTGCCGGCTGACAGACTGACCGGCCGTTGATGCTGCCCGCCCGCCAGACCAACCTGTAGCCCCGTGCCCGTCGTCGTCGCGGCGACCGGCTTCTGCTGCACCGTCAGTACCACCTGCGTCGAAGCTGCAACAAGAGTTCAAGGACGATGATTAGTCACCTTTCGCATACCTACGCCGGTCCTTCCCCCGCGTTTGACCCTCCCCACCATTTTCTCATTCGAGAGCTCTGCTTGGGCGAACGAACAATCGTGTGTCCTCCTGGGGGGGAGGGGGCTTTTTTTGTTCCGAATGCGACACCAGACACGGGGATTTTCGACTCTCGATATTTACTCACTGAATGGATCGTGTCGTTGGATCATGTTTGGTGACCGTTGTTGCAGATAAACATACATACACTACCACCTGTTATTATTTTTCTCGCAGGTAACGCATAATTTCTTCTTTCTTTTTTTACCGGCGAATTATCAGCAGCGAAAATAAATTTAGCGAGAACGCGATCGCGAGAGAGAATTATACTGCAAGGGATTAATAACAATTCTATTTTTTTCTTTTCAACTCGACAAAATTCCATAAATTATAAAAAGGGGAATTATTAAATTAGGACGGCCAAAGGTTGTTATCTAATGGTACATTTTATGAAGTTCGATCGAGCTTAATAAAATTCTGATTTACGGAAACAAGATCCTTCCTTGATACCTATTCTGAAAGCTTCACCTCTAAAAATACACATTTGCACGGACATTCGTAGCCGAGTAATCGTGGACGGTATGAGCAACTTCTTTATGACTTTGCATGAATGGACGCTGTCGAACTGCAACAAAACGAACGCGTAAAATCATTTATTCGATCGACCGTGTACAATCTCCGTTGTTTTCGACATCTTTAACTTCATCGCGGCGGTGCAAAAGTGTATTTAGATCTCTCGTGATATTTTGTTGCCAGAAATTTACACGTGCATATTTGCACATTCATCGAGGCTTTTGCAATGGCCCAATTTTATCGTCGAATCGGGAGGAAATTTGTCGCGAGACGATTTTACTGAAAGTCAACAAACGAGTCCTGGTTTTTTTTTGGTCGGAGGTGCAGATCGAACACAGAATGTGTTAAAGAGTTACATCCTGCGCAGAGAGGTAATAAAAATCGAATTGTTCATTTTTACGTATGTGAGAAATTTCAAGTCCTGAAAATGGATTCTGTAAAGTTTTAATCGACACCTCGAAAAGTAATGTCCACTAACGAAGCAATGACAAGTACGAATTATATTTGAATTTTTGCTCAATTTCTAACACGGTTTCTTTCAATCTTCTAACAAAGTTGACATCATTTTCAACAAGTAGTGAACAGTTCTACCTGAAGTTTGCAAATTTGTCCTGAGAAACGTTATAGCATCTTTTGTGATCACTCCTTTAAGCACTCAACAAGAACGAATCCAATTTTCAATCTTCTAACAAAGTTGACATCATTTTCAAGTAGTGAACAGTTCTACCTGAAATTTGCAAATTTTTCCTGAGAAACGTTATAGCATCTTTTGTGATCACTCCTTTAAGCACTCAACAAGAACGAATCCAATAAAAAATTCCACGTGTACCGTTCAAAATGGTCGCAATTCAATACAAAAATGGAACTTCAAAATCATCAAGGATTCTTACAGATAACATATACTCAAAATCCATTCGATTTTTAGTCCACCCAAAAAGAACGAATTCAATAAAAATTCATTGTGAATTTTTTTAAACAAATTCCGTTCGTTTTCCTGCGGTCCTTGTCAGTCCCGAGGAGCCTCCGAACACTCATCGAGGATTTACTGCATTATTTCTTAAACGAGTAAATACCTAGGCAAATAGTTATTTCATCAAATAAACTGTTTAAACAGCAGGACGACAATTTTAGATACTGCTGCTTTTTACTATCTATCGTTACAATCAAATTTTGCCCAACTCCGACTCCCTCCTCTCGCACTGGACCCGTCCGATTGTGCCGAGCAGGACGGTGTCGACAGTTCGCGTGGCAGGAAAACACACGAGTAAGTAGTGCCACATGAAATGACCCGATAGAAGCGGCTGAAAATACCGGAGTACGGTTTCGCGCGAGCTTTCTTCCAGGCCTGCCTCAGGTCGTACGTGGTCCGCGTCTTCATATAGGCACAAATGAAAATAGACGCGTGTCGAAATGGATCGATTTTCCGACGATTCCGTTTTGTTGTCGCCGTCCTCGATCAAAAGGGGGTTGGTCCTGCACACGTGCACACGCGCGCGCACACACACACGCTCGTTCGAATCACAAGTTTTTTTTCTCTAGTGTGTGCAACGGGCGCGGTGTCGTCCGGGAAACTGCGTAAAACCGATCGTGGCTGCGAGCCGATCCGCCGCGCGGAGCAAAAGATGAGGAGACACACTCCGCCGAAATCTTCGACACATGAGCCACAGAGGCTCGCGGTCGTGTGACTGTAGTGCAACAATCCTGCGACCCCCTCCCCTGGTTCCACTAACCTAGCAATAAGGTCCTGGACATTTAAGAATAATAAGAAAATATATCGAAAATTTAATGGGAAACATCGATTGTATACTAAATAAAATTGTATAATTTAACACTAGAACTACCAACGATAAACGCATATCGTTTTCGATCGATCGGTAATTTTAAACTTTTGAAAATTTACTAATTTATAAATGAACTAGTTTCTTTAATGTCATATCGTAATAAAAGTTACAAAAGATTTGAGAAAATGTATTGTTATAACATTTTAATCGGCGTTGTAAGAATGTATTGACCAGTCATTTTGACTGGCTTGGTAGGTCTAGTGTTAACACTAGGTTTACGGACATTTCTTATACTCTTATTTCTACGGACAGGCGTCAAGGAAACTGCACATTGCCTTTAAAAAATAACTTATTTTTGTTAATACTCAATTTACGATAGCATCAAATTGTCGCGTATCCATAGAGATAGGCATACCATATCGAGAATTTATGAATGAACGTTCAATTATGAATGAACGAAAATTATCGTGTGTGGTCCAACGATATGAACGTATAACTGTTGTGGCTTATCGTACGGGACTGCTGTAATTGTATCCTTCAAAAATCTATTTTTGTTAAATTAAAAATTGCTAATTTCTAGGGTACAATTTGTTACTGCTGACGGTTGGTTGTTCATCACTGGTGTGGACAAACGTTTTCGATCACCGAAGAAAATAAACTTTGCGGTTATAGGTTATTTAATGAAGAACAAAGTTTCAGTTGCAGATAATACGACCCCATTGGTAATAAAAAAATCGATAATAAGAAAATCGATAACAAGAAAATGGAGAATAAGAAAATCGATAATGATACCATCGATAACAAGACAATCGATACTAAAATCAATAATAAAAACAATCGGTAATAAAAGAATTGGTAGTAAGAGAATCGATAGAAAGAGAATCGATAAGAAGAAAATGAATAATAAGAAAATTGAAAATAATCTCACATAATTCCTAATCAGTTCTCTTCCAATTTTGTACGTTTGATCCTGGCGATTCCACCGGGCGTCACTGCCCATGCCCGGAATTTAAATTACTTTACGTTCTCAATTAAGCATTTTATTGCATAATAAACAAAATGTTATTAAATTTCAAAGAAAAAAAATGCCACAGAGCATGTAGTTAAAGACATATTTTTTATTAAGCACCTTTCTCGAAGATTCTTTATATTCATTAAGAAACAATAGTCAGCTGAAAATAATATACATATACAAATGATTCTAAGAGTTTTCTTTTTTTTTTTTTAATGTTAGCACCGTATCTAAGAAAAAACTACTATTCGCGGGCAGACGAGGTAAACAACTTAAGGATTCAGGGTTCATTGCTAAAGGATCGAGATCCAATTTCTCGGAATTAATATTCGTATAAAACAGAAAGGGGAAGAACGTACGAATCCGGACCGAACGGTTCATCTCAATCGTCACTTTCCAATAACGGAGGCGTCGTTAACTTTTTATCTCGTTCTGCTAGAATTCCTTACGTTAACATGAGCGATCCTGCGAAAAAGAAAGAGAGAGAAGGAAAAACATATTCGAGACCTCGGACTTTGCGGAAAGCCCCGAACGAACCGATTGAGTCAGCTGTAAACGGCACTGAATTTAGCGGTCAGCTGCGAGCTCTACTCGTATATCTGCAGCCACCTTTCCTCGTAAAACTATATTTGTTTGAAGAAGCCTGCGGTTCCAACGTGATTAATCCCTGTTATAGGTATCCAGGATAGTCGACTCCCGAGTCTTCTATCGTCGCCCGAGTTCTGAACTGTACTAACTCGAATTTACCCCAAAAAAAATTTAATTAATCAATCTGCGTGCGTGTCATTGGTAAGAGGAACACAAATTCACCATAATACAGTGTTCCACTTAAAACAGGGCAAACTTAAATATCTTCTCTATCTGTGATCATGCGAGAAATATTTTTTACGTAATTTAAATGGTTTCCCGAGACGAATTAGATGGTGGAAAAAGTGGATAAGTGAATTTAACATTTTTAGAGTATATGTTTTATAAGTAAATTTAACATGTTTAGTGTTCAAGGTCATGAGAAAATTCCACCGAGAAAACAACAAATATTCTTTTAAGTTCTAATTTCGAAACTTTGAAAGTTTTTCTTTTTCTTAATGGTTGTAACTCTAAACAGTAACAACGATTAAAAATTTATGTTGATAATAAGATAAAATTTTGTTCAGTGTTGTAATAAATAGCTATTCAGTAGATATACAAATCATTTTCAATCACAGTTTTAGCGCATTATTTTTATCAGATCTTTGTAGAATAATGAGTTACTTGTCCATTAATCATGAGCTGTGGTCCCATACGTTTTTCCACTAGTATCTCCGAAAAGATCAAAACTATTTGCAGCCATTTAGTATTGCAATTCTTAATATTGTTGAAATTAATTTTTTTTTGTTTTTGACATTTTGAAAATTATCAAACATTCTAGTGCCAACTGAGTCGTTAATAGCCATATTTTAAGGGTTGGCGCGACTATGGACAAGTAAATTAAAAATCAAATAACTCGAAGATTGAAATTCTTGAGCCTTTTTTTCAAGGATGACTTCAGAGTAAGAAAATAATATCTCGAAATTTTCACGAGGAAAGCATGCC